CATAATTACTTGTATATGGCGGTCATCGACCTTTATTAAAAAGTATCACGTGACCATACACACTTGTTTTGATATTGTTCACCGACGATGTCATATTGACCTTGTGTAGTTACGACTTAAACTCCCGCCGAGATTGCCACGGGTCAGTGTATAAACATTGCCATAAAGTCTTCTGCAAATAATACGGCGTACCAAGGATATTTGTCAGGTATATGTTGAAACAAGCAACCAAATCGTCGTACAGAACGCGTTTGACGTGGTCGTATCAATGCAAACCGCGGAAGTATCAGCGGGTTCCTCGGTCTAAAAACAGGACATAAGTCGCCGATTACTTCCTCCATCCTTCCCCGGAACTGTCAGTCTTCTTTGACGTTATACTGCATGTACAGTGAGTTGTAAATAAAGAGTTATTTATCATAAAATTCAAGATTTAATGATATCGCGTCAGTTGGGATGTGCCAGTGTCAGTGTCTGTCTGTCAGGCCAGTGTCTGTCACGGCGCTGACGAAATAGAAGCTGCAGCTATTTGATTGTTTTTGCCCCGCTGTTGTTTTTTATTGTGACAAGCTTTGTTTTATTCGCCGCGCTGTAAATTCATAAAAAGGGTGTTTTATGAGAGAAATGTGAGGGGGTACATGTTACTATCTCTCATTAACATACAAGCAACAACACATGGTTTATATAAAGGTGCGAAGTAAACAACTGAATCCCCAGAACTACTTTGAACACTGATTGCTGCGCTACTCAACGAAGTCAGTCGAACGTTCTATACGTACTTTTTTTTCATACCGGCCCGTTATTTCATATTCATCGACGCTTTCCAGTGGCATTGAGGCAAGAACATGGTAAGAACATTTCTTTAATGATAGGAATAATAGAATGAATGCAAAAAGTGTTTGGTAATTTCAGCGTATGCTTATTTTTTAAAAAGCAAGTGGTACTAAAAATGGAATAAAACGTGTACACTAAACGTGATTTGATGTAGAATGGCATCTGAACAGATTTGTCCATAGTCAGTTGGAATGCGTATGTATGCGCAGTATTTGCTTTCGCAGAAGGTGAGTCGAACGCGTCTCTAGTGGCAATAACGGGATGCGATTAATATAACGTTCATATTTTTTCTATGACTAACGTAGACCCATTTTTACCCGAATCGTTTCAATCCATGTATTTTAGCGTACATATTCTACCGGTTATTTTGTGTTTCCGACAACCAATTGCATGTTACGCGGTAAGACAATTGCTGGTGCGCATGTACGCGATCACGTCAGCACGCCAAACAACTCACTCGCACGTTAATATTGTTCACGCAACACACAGAGGCGGTTATTATCGTACGTACACATACGTTGCAGATCAAGCCCGAAAAACAGGCTCAAAATATGACATTTTATGGGTGTATACCGTAAAATACATTAAAGTGACCACTTTTACTAAATGAGAATGCTTCAAAGAGAGACCGACGTCTGTATATAAATACGAGCTTTTTAAGATTGTTAGTATATCATTGAAAGCACGTCGTATAATGAATTCTCTACAAATACTACTAGTAGCATACCCAGGGATGACGTCCCATCGGCAACTTGAAGTAGTCTAGTTTTAAAGACTAACTCGGTATAATCACGAATCTTGCCACAAATGCCAAGTTTAACACCCAAGTCGTAAAGATTTAACTGAGTCGTGTTCGCAAACATTGCAACGGCACTGTTTATATAGCGTACGCACGTCATTCTATGTTTCTGTGTATATCTGATTGAACAAAATATAGTATATGAAATGAGATATGATATGATACGATTTTGATTTCATGTTTATCTCATGTATCATTTTCACAGCTTATACGGTAAATACAACGAACTAACATAGTGATCGTAATTTGTGAACGCGTAAGACATCGTAGAGCAAACTGTATAAACGATCGTCATAGACGAACACCGATCACCGTTAGTTTACCTTATTGTGATTAAGAAGTACAGATTTATGGATGCCATCACTATATTCATGGTTCCTGGAATGTATTCGGGATCATAATCACTAATTTTGGAGCCGCTTGGCAATCTGAGAAAAAATCGCGACGCGCGTGAAACAATTTTCTGTGCGCGGTGATGTCAAAAGTCCAATCTGATTTCATGAACCAATCAGATTGCCGGGATTTTTATTACATAGTATGGATATGAATATATAGAAACTCATTACACTGCATTTATTGTACCAAACTGTCATGTTATATGGGATGACTTGTTATGTTACGATACGGTACGGTACGATACGATACGATGCAACACGATACGATTCATACGATTGGAGGTGTTGTAATGTGTCAGGATGGGATATTTTATTTGGAACGTTCTCAATACTTCATTAAGTAAGGCTCACAAGTCAAGAAAATAACAACACACCAACCATCTAGAAAACTAAAATAATTCTGAAAGTAGTAAACGCAACCTGAGTGGCTGTTACATGAAGAAAGTGCCAGGAAACTTGAACGCAATTTAAAATGCACGACCAATCATATGTTGAAAACTTGAGGCCACTGTGAGACGACCAGTAGCCTTCTGTGGACAGCCCCATGAAAATAACAGAAACAAACTTGAATCGACGAAACAAACACTTGATCTGAAAAAACAACAACAACATTTTCCCCCAGTACATATAACATAAACGAGAATACCCTGCCGTAACTTTTAACACAGTCACCATGATAAGGAAATTGGCCCAGCCCTCAAAGACGGAATGATTCTAGTAGTTCGACAGGAACACTGGTCCAACCTTGACAGGCTGAATAGTCACGTATTACCCCCCCCCCCCCGTAGTGACACCGACCATCGCTTGCATCACACAGTGATACGAATTTATGATAATGTATTCACTGTTTTGACATCAAGATGGATGACACCACACCACTAAAAAACAACAATCAAAGGACACCGAAGGTTGACATTGACGTTAGGACGATGATGACAAGACGTGGACATTTTCACGTAATGCTGTAACTCAGCTGAGAAAAATAGACCCAAATAATATCGCATACACTTGGCATAACAATACGCTAACCTTCGAGTCTTACGTGTTATACGCGTCGCTATATATTAATCTGCCACCCCTGGGACACTCGAACGAGTTTAATAGCTCCCAGGGTTAAAAGGGTTGACTTAATAAAAAGTAAAGCTACCTAACACGCAAACTAAGATTCGCTAAATAGTTATTACCAAACTTCAGACCGTTCTATGAACAGTCCTGATAATTAAAGCCGCACTATAAATTCATATCTTCAATACTGTAAAATGACTAATTTTCACTGGGTTTAAATTTCACTGATTTACCATTTCAGGCATATTCAGTGGGTTTTAAATTCACGGTTTTATCATTTAGATAATATGTTTTATGCTAAATTTTACATATTCACTGGGTTTTAATTTAGCGCATTTTACAGTCAGCGAAATAAGCCAAATTAAAACCCTGTGAATAATTAACCATTTTACAGTATGTTAGACACGTGACGCATTAAAGCGGGGGAGTCGTCACCTGCGCATGCGTCAGATGGCCATAGCGTGTAATTGTTTACAAACAAGCGTATACCCATGAGCCTTTGCGTTTTAGCGTGTGTTGTTATCGTCGATTGGGACTCAATTCCCGCGCGTGCGCAGGTGACGACCCTTCCGCTTTAAGGTAATTCGAATTTGCCCTACTGAACACGCTACTGCGAATATGAGAACTTCCCATTGTATGTAATGGAAGCATATTATCACACTAAAAACTAAATAAATTAAATGCCATCTTTAAAAAAAGTGTTTTAACATATTCGTTTTCATATCCACAATAATATAAACCATTTTGTTTTATGACACCGAGCATAATTTTAAGATACCAGGACGTACTAGTAATTTCAACCCAGAAACCAGAGCAAAAATCAATATTATTACCATTTCCCGTATCGGATAGCCCGGTGATACAATTTTTTCTTATTTTTGATACTCAAGTGCCGTTAACCCATAATAATGAAAGCAAAAAGAAGATGACTTAATTATAGTCTGTAATTTGCCTTAAAGCGCGGTGGTTGTCGCGCAGCGCGTGTTCGAATTTCATGTAAATAAACAATGTATTTTACACGCGTTGTATACGTCGCTATGAGTCTCATATCGAACAGGACGCGGCACGACGACCGCCGCCCTTTAAAGTAGAGCTCGTGCGTTTTTGACATGTGCGCATATTTTAGCGCATATAGCACGTAGCAATATTCCGTGTTTTCAAAATCTTTCTACAATTAATATTTTTAGTTTTATTCATGTTGACTAATATGCCTAAATTCGCAAATTGGCAGGGGCTTCCAACGATCATAACAAAAACACATTTTGTCATTAAAAATCCACAAAAATCTAATATAATTTTTTAAAATATTTCTAGACACGGACAATGAAATTGTTAAACACTATACATCATTTCTTCGCCTCATGTGATCAAAAGTGTGAGATATGTCAACGGAAACAAAGACAAAATGCCCTAAAACAAACAACATATGCTAACATTCGCTTAATATTGCTTATATCGATTTGTTCTGAACCGAGTAAGATGAATCCATGTTTTTTTCTTCATCCTTGTAACATAAAATGAATTATATGTAAAAATAAAGTACATGACATTTCTACCTTAAGAAAACTGATTCTGGATGATTGCGGTGTATGTATGTATATAGAGTTACTACAACAACTCCCGACATAGCGTGTCTTATACGGTTTCACCACATGCATCGACCTTCCCAGTGGGATATTTGGCACATCCACCAAGAGTATACGTTGAGTCAATCATTCAACACCGGGTAAAATTGTAACTTCTGATAACGAGTTTCCTACAATAGCTCCCAAGTCACCAACGGAGATCGGAAACTGAAGGTGATAGTCCCAACAATCGGAACAACGAAAGCATATTCGATTTCAGCTATAGAAGCGTTTTTTTCTAAATTTTAAATTCTCATTTTATCTCTTCTTTTTTTTGTAAAACAGATTTTCAACATGCTGCTCTTTCTTGTTGTCGCGGTAACCTTCTGTGCGAAGATGACATCATCGATGAACAGTCACCGTGGTAACGGAGCAGACTCCAACGAATGCGTGTTAGACTTACAAATGAGTGACGACCCAGAGAGATCAATGACGCAAATCAAATATTTGGCATCGGCCTTAAATTTATGTGGGTTCGTCCCAGAGCTACCCAAGATGAAATTGCGATATTTAGAAAACACAACAGTCACGTGCAACGACGGCTCGCCAGCAGGGTAAGTTTCGACCAATAGGAAGTCAGATACAAGTGTTGTGGTGAATTTGAATACAAACCTACACAAATAAAGATTTAAAGACCAAAATCCTGCAGGGAAAATAACTTAAAAAACACATACACATTTTACAGGTAAAAACACCAAAAAACAGCAGTTACAGTGATGGAAATAAAATATGCACAGTCCGCTCTCTCGACTTACCTGGTGTGACGTGTTTGGGCTCACAGCAAAGGATCTACGGTTTGTAAATGTTAATTAGAAACTGATATTTAATCTTATCATATTTTAGGTATTATTTATATCCGTCAAACGGCAGCACAAGATGGCTAATATTTCTAGAAGGTAAGTTATCAAACATATTTCACAATTTCAGTTGAGTTGTTTCGTATCACACTTGTGGTGGCGCTTTGCTCCGTCGTATACTAGTATTCAAATTGTCACCAGAGGGCGCTCACGAAGATTAACATTCTTCGATTATTTTGATTTCAGGTGGTTGGTATTGTTTCGATGACGATAGTTGTCAGAGTCGTTGGGAATCAATGCGGGGACTTATGAGCTCAACAAGATGGACACCAGAGAAAGCAGGTCAGTAACCAAGATTGTGATACCTTATGATGCATGTATTTAGCGAGGAGGGGCCAGATGGGGCAGTTATGCGTGTGACTATAACAACGCTCACTGAAAGATCGAACAATTAAAGATGATATACATCGGCAATCGCGCTTCTTTGGAATAGTTTAATAAAACTGTAATTTTACTGGTTTTACTTGACTCAACAGGTTCCGGTTTACTGTCACCTGACCCGGAAGAGAATCCTAATTGGTGGAATGCAAATAAAGTGTGAGTTTTAACAACCAATTATAATTAATATTGAACTGAAGTAATTTATTCATTAGTATTGTACTATAATATTCAAAATATTCTTTTCACGTGCGTTGAGTCACGTGACAAACACGGCTTTTCGGTGACTAAACTTAGTTTCAGATTAACTGGACAAGCTTGTTACCCTACAGAACATTTTAGTAATAGTCAAACCACAATATATATTGGAGAAGTTAGCATGATTGTTGTTGATTATATTACAGGTTTATTCCATATTGTTCGAGTGACGTTTGGAGTGGCACGGCTCGGGCGGATCAAGGTAAATTTTTTAATTATGTTTCATTGTTTACCCTTTCTGTGGCAATTATATTTATAACGAACAACTGTGGTTAATAACAGCTTTAGACTAAATATGTCAAAAATTATAAATATAAACTACACATATTTTATTGGTGTTAATTTTTATTTTTACTAATTTTTCATAGGTGGCTATGCTTTTATGGGCGCATTGATTTTACAAGAAGTAATCCGGGAATTGATACCACAGGGACTTCTAGTTGCAAATAAAATATTATTGGCTGGTAGCAGGTATGTGTATACTCGTTTATTTATATTCGGTTTTTGCTGACGTCTTTCAAACTAATTATTGCAGTTTTGGCTGTTTTAAAGTTCTGAGACCACACGATCTAACACTTCATGTGACGAAGTTTAAATAATGATAATGGGGTGATCGGGGTCGTCTGTGGAACCTGGCGTTGGTTTGGTCTTCTGGCATTAATTAGCGACAATTCAAATACAGATTCGAATTGACATTTACTCGACAAAATTAAGCTAATCCCTTTGTGTCAGCAAACTTTCCCCTCAAAATGCAGGAAATAGCGTTTCTGGGGGGTCTAGATTTCAAACATTTTAAGGGGGAGCAGCCCGGACCCCCTAGTAAAGTCACGCATTTGGCGCGAGGTTGGTGAGCAGATCTCGTCTCCTCATGCACAATTTCGTGCCGCCGCCTCTGTTATAGTATGAATGTCATTTTTATACTTTTTTTTTAATACAGCGCGTGTAAAATAAGTTGCTTGCTTAAAACAAGACTCAAATGCGTACTGTGCGAAGACTATCGCTGTTTTAATGAAAACGAAACCCATGAGTAAAAATTAATCCTAGGAAATTTCTTTCAGTGCTGGTGGTACTGGTGTGCTGTTAAATCTCGATTACGTGTCGGATATGTTGTCAGCGGCTGGTAGCAACGCTGTAGTACGGGGTATATGTGATTCGGGATGGTTCCTTGATACAGTCCAGCATCGCGCTCAACCATGTACAAACACTTTGTCATGTGCGCCCTCAGAGGTCATAAAGAGAGGAATAAAGTGAGTGCGACATTTACTGACAAAATGAAAACAAACATCATCAGTTTATATTTGCCTGCTTGAGATACACGCTATCAGGTATACCGTATCACTATAGTTACCTAAACTCCAGTCTAAGTCTGTATCATATCTCTTACTCACTAGACTATGGAGTGGCCAGGTACCAGCACGATGCAGTGAGGAATATAGCTACAATGATCAGTGGAAATGTTTCTTTGGTTACAGAATTTATCCAACTCTGCAAAGTAAGTATACTCACATCACATCACATCGCATCGCATCGCGTCTCGTCGCGTCGCGTCACGTCACGTCACGTCACATCACATCACATCACAGCACGTCACGTCACGTCACATCACATCACATCACATCACAGCACAACACAGCACAGCACAGCACAGCACAGCACAGCACAGCACATATACTGCAGTTCTGTAACTTCGTTTCTAGATTGAAAGAAATCCAATTAGCTTGTACTGATGGAAATTGTATTATTTGCCCATTGTTATAAGTAATACATATTATTATACATTATTTATATTATAAATTTATGTTTGTTTTCTCTATCGCACGTCGCTGTCAAATTGAACACATACGCGACTGTTTACAAACTTACTACTTGATCACGAACAATAGTTATGGCTTGGGCGATTTATAATATGTGAATGTTCACTATCGTTTATATGAATATATATATTTTTCTATTAAATGTCTGTTGTACACTTAATTACAGCACCAGTATTTATATTCCAATGGCTTTATGATGAAGCACAATTAGTTGTTGGCATGACAGGCCCACCAGCAAAACTGGAACACTGGAATTATATGCAGCAGTTAGGAAGAGAACTCAGACACTCTCTGAAAAACGTATCGTAAGTGTATAAAATAAAACATTTATTTAACTTTAAACTTAGCCTATCAACTATCTTAATTTTCTTATACCAAAACATTTCTTGAGTATGTCATTAATTATGTCAAATTAATGATTATTTATATTTTATTTGCAGTGCGGTGTTTGCTCCAGCCTGTTACTCTCATAAAGTCATAGATAAGATGTATGTATTTTAATTACAACTTAAATAAAAGTCATATATTTTAAAAATAAAATAACTAGAACCAGTGCGATCGGCCAAAAAATTGCAATTAATCTTCAGTCACGTAACGTTATTCTCATCTCTCTATCACACTCCGTGAATACGATATCAAAACCCATAAGATGTAGATGCTCGACGCAACAAAGGCATTCGCTTCATCTTTGTAAATATTTATAAATTTCACAATTCAAACTAAAACGACAGGTTTCTATTAGTCGATTGAATAATATTGGAACGTTTTCAAATGACGTCGTCGTGCACTGTGCTCGTTGATTGGCTGATTTGATTCAAAAAACTTATAAAGATGAAGAAATGCTTTTGTCGCGCCGAGAGTATCTCATGAGTGACCCTACAATATTAGATTTATTAAAAGAGTGCAGTAACTTTCATTTGATTCCAGCCTTTGGTCCGCCCCTAGGAGCAAATGAAGTTTAATGAATGTGATGAACACCGATTACTGTTAGATTACCCTACTGCGATTAAAAAAAAAGTTATTATTGAGACCATCGCTATATTTCGGAGATACATTGATAACATAATTACATATTCGCACAACGTTGCACAATCCGTGATAAATGACACTAAACACGGGTGTAACAATTTTGTGTGTGCGGAAAAGTTTAAAATAACGTCTCAAACATATACGACTTTTTATCAAACTGGCATTTTAGTCGACATCTGAAACTAATAAAAGTATTTCAAATAATAATAATTTGATAAATATTTACCACCAATATTTACCACTAACATATTACTGGCGTATTCTTTTGATTCTCTGCTTGAACGGACCAATCAGATTGTCGGGATATGTTATTAATTAGTACATTAAAATAGAAAGTTATTACACTGCTTTATGAAATATGGAATATAAATATTTGTGTTATCAATTTCCCCATTAGGCAATGGTTAAATGTGCATGTAAAAGGCATCTCACTACCTAATGCCTTGGAGTGTTGGTTGAACAGTAACGAAGAATCTAACCATTCACTCAGAAACAATGAAGATGCTGCTCCAGAAGACTCTGATGATCGCCAGATGATAGGTGAGAGACACTTGATAGTTGAGGAAACTTGCAATTCTGTTTGTCCAATTCAATTAAAGCGCAATAGCTGTTATTTAACACATTCCTAGCCACAAAGAAATGTTGTTTTAGACAATCTATCACGTAATATGAACCGTAACAATTGTGGTGCAGGGTACACACTATTAGAAAGATTAACACATAAAATGTTCAGTGAGAGAACGTCAGAGAGGATTACAGCCCCAAGATTGCCACGTGTTTGATATTTAGGCCAGGGTCCATATAAAGTTTCATCTTGTACCGTAATACATGAGGTTCACTTGACAAAACTGGATTTCAATAGATGGCGCCTTCTGGAGAGCCGGACGCGACCCCGCGACCATTTTCCCCAGTTGCAAGTGATTTAACGTACAACGTTTATATATAGCATATATCCTATACTTCCAGTGCCTACATTTCAACGAGGGTCGTTATTGGCACTAATGGTATTAAAGTGTTAACAAAAAATGAAGAAAAAAGATCGATAATTACAGCTAATGTCGCTTCAAATTGTTTGCTACAAATACGCACATGTTAGAGAGTAACTAATTAATAACTAGTAATTAAACTGGATACAATAGATCTACCACCGCCATATTACACACTTCCATGAAAGTCTCTGAATGTTCTGTATGTTTCTCTGCTTGTATATTCACTTGATTCTCTCTACTGCTCAGTATTTTCAAATTGTCTATTCTTTCGCTGAAAAAAAAATCTATCTTTCCTTTCTTGCTCTGGTCTACACAGCTGACAAGCCTGGAGACACTCTTTCCTATTCTTACTATGGTAGTGATGTAACCGATGACATCGGAAGTGGTAAAAATTATTATGTTGTAGATAGTTCAGAAACAGATTACGTTAAAGATGAGTGGGAAATGCATACTGTTAAAGGTAAGATTTGGAGCGATCGTGATGTATACATCAAATCACGGAGTGTGGGCACTTAAAGACGTGTAATAACCCTTACAGTCACGTACATTTTCCTTACTATGCGTTGTATACACGCCAAAGGTCCAACATAGAAAAGTATTACGTCTAGTCTCACAGGAAAATAAATAATACGAACATATGTAAACAAACAACACAGGAGCACCAAACTCGTGATCACTGCCTTGGCACTGCAGTCCCGCACCCCAGTGCACCCCGTGGTTTGAAATGATATGACAGATTATTGAGCCATTTAGGACTAATAATATGTGTTGTGTTTATTGCAGTACACCCAGCAAGTATTCAAGGAAGAAAACAACGACAGGAATCTGACGAATACGAGACGCATGCACATACTGTCCACCAAAGCAGATGCCATCACCATGTCATAGATAACGCACCCTGTCCACAGTGTAACCCAATGTGTCCCAAGCTTGTCAACCCATTTACAGGTGAGACGATCAACATTTTCCCTGCCTTTATGTCAGTATAACATCATGCTTCCCACGAAACGCAAAAGGAATTAGTACTCCAATTTTGTTTCTGATTAAATCTTATTGTTTGATGTACATTAGAGAAATATTTTATCATATGCATCTTCGCAAACCAAGGTTCAAGTTTATTCGGCCAAGCCTCTATCGTGTAGAGGTCTATAGGTCGAAGACACGGGACCGTGCGATTCGGACGATGTATCATATGAAACAAATGACATTTTTTTGTTCTGTTCAACAAACAATATCGCATCAACAATTATCACTGCTTTTCATTTTATTTCAGACGAGGAAATGGAGTTTCTACCATTTTTAAAACTGATGGGATTTGATCTGTCTGGATTGGCCAAACTTCTGGGACTGGATGCTCAAACGATGGCAATGATGATGGAAGGTTGATCCAACATTACTGTTTTTGAGAAGAATGTGGGATCAATTCTTTCTTGTGAACACAAAACAACTTTTGTGTGTGATACTCAAAAATAGATGAGTAATACAGTTTACCAAAACAGTCACTCTCCCAGGCGTGACATGTAACACAATATTCTAAACAAACTATGAAAATAACTAGGTTGAAAATGACTTGTTTGTCATAAACTAGCAAACCTGGATGTAAGATTCAGTTAAAAATATGTTTTTTACGGAAGTGTTGACATAATCCTTCTGTTACTAGAATTCGATAACTGTTCTTCAGTTATCCATAAACGTTGGTGAATCGGATAGATTACTGACAATTGATATTTCCACATCAGTTGCATACATATCCCAGATGATCTTTGCATGATGGGTGCAACAGATAAAATGTAGGAAAAAATGCTATACTTAAAATGGAACATTCAATATCATATTGCGTGAAAATATGTTAAGAATATTTATAAAACTATTATTTTTGTAAATAACGTATTTCTTTGAAAAATGTAGACAAGCCTTTTGCTGTAAAAAATGCAAAAAAATATGAATATGGGTATTTGAACTTTTATACTATTATTATTGATATATTTTTTATCCTTCAACGGTTTTTATCATTCTTTTTGAGATACTTTTATTTAGATATTAGAAAAACAAAGTGTCTGTCATACAGTATGGTGTTTAATTCTACACAAAATATGTGCCACGGTGACTGGTATTTTGTCTTGACAAGTTTTGTTTGTGTGAACATTTATACTTATATTTCCATACACTGCTCCTTCTGTGACTAGGACTATACCAGCGGCATAAACTAATTAAAGCATTTATATTGTATTTATATCTTCAACACTTCAAGTACATTTTATTCATCATTGTACTGTACAACAAACTTGCGTCACTTGTGATCAACATTGTGGTATCGATTTAATGCTATCAACAATCCTCAACTACCAGGAATGCAAATCGTTTCTAATATACTACTACTTCCAATAATACAACAGGGCTATAAAAATATTCAGTAGAAAATGTTCTGTTGTTGCATTATTTTGTATTAAAAAAACGTTTAATAAGTATTAAGTGTTATTATGTCTTAATTTTATAAAAATTTGCATTTCGTATTTTTATAAAGAAGATTTTTAGCATGTATGCATTGTCACTGTCCAAGGCTCGATAACAGCATCACAATAATACATTCTTTCCCAGATTCCCATCTACATCATAATATACTTGTTTTGGGGTTAAAGCACGCAGTATGTTTTGTTTCTCTTATATCCCTGTTGAAGACAGGAAAATGATATGGTTGCGCTGGAAACTATTTATACAAATTTATTGATTCGACAATTGAAGGCAGTTCGCAAAGACATTTTGTGCCATTTTTGGTAAGGGTACAACAATTAACTACATTCTTCTCTCATAACATCAGTGTGTTTTTTTAACTTCAGCTTCCGAAGCACACAGTTGGTGTCTTTGCATCTAACCTCTGTGTGTGTGCATAATTTCTCCCCTGATACCTAAAAACAATGTGATTACTTAGTTAGTTCAGAATTGAAATGTGTGCATATTAATTCCCAATTTGCATAAATCAGCTAATTTTCCAACATATATTTAAACAAGCAGCCTGTCGGCTTGGATAGCTCCACTGTTAGCAATGCACAATGCAATTAAAGAACAGAAGATATCATTAGAAAATGAACAATATGTATAGTATCAAAGCAACAGGACTTGCTGTTTTCAACAAGAATTCAAAAATATCAATTTTTACCAAAAATTAAAAAAATATTCACTAAAATTAGAACTTTTGGTTTTTAACAAGAAGTCGAAAATATCACTTTTTACCAAAAATTACAAAAATATCCACCAAAATTAGAGAATTGAAGATTTCATTACAAAATGAACAAATCTGAGAGAGGTCCACATGTAGTACCTATATATGTAACATCAAAGAAATTGGACTTGCGGTTTTTAACAAGAAGTCGAAAATATCATTTTTTACCAAAAATATTCACCAAAATTAGAGAATTGAAGATATCATTACAAAATGAACAAATCTGAGAGAGGTCCACATGTAGTACCTATATATGTAATATCAAAGCAATTGGACTGGTGGTTTTTAACAAGAAGTCGAAAATATCACTTTTTACCAAAAACATTCACCAAAATTAGAGAATTGAAGATATCATCATGAAATGAACAAATCTGAGAGAGAGGTCCACATGTAGTACCTATATATGTAATATCAAAGCAATTGGACTTGCGTTTTTTTTAAAAAAAATCGAAAATATCACTTTGTACCAAAAATGACAAAAATATTCACCCAAATTAGAGAATTAAAGATATCATTACAAAATGAACAAATCTGAGAGAGGTCCACATGTAGTACCTATATATGTAATATCAAAGCAATTGGACTTGTGGTTTTCAACAAGAAGTCGAAAATATCACTTTTTACCAAAAATGACAAAAATATTCACCACAAAAAGAGAATTGAAGATTTAATTACAAAATGAACAAATCTGAAAGAGGTCCACATGTAGTACCTATATATGTATTATCAAAGCAATTGGACTTGCTGTTTTTAACAAGAAGTCGAAAATATCACTTTTTACCAAAAATTACAAAAATATTCACCAAAATTAGAGAATTGAAGATATCATTACAAAATGAAAAAAATCTGAGAGAGGTCCACATGTAGTACCTATATATGTAACATCAAAGCAATTGGACTTGCGGTTTTTAACAAGAAGTCGAAAATATCACTTTTTACCAAAAATATTCACCAAAATTAGAGAATTAAAGATATCATTACAAAATGAACAAATCTGAGAGAGGTCCACATGTAGTACCTATATATGTAACATCAAAGCAATTGGACTTGCGGTTTTCAACAAGAAGTCGAAAATATCACTTTTTACCAAAAATTACAAAAATATTCACCAAAATTAGAGAATTAAAGATATCATTACAAAATGAACAAATCTGAGAGAGGTCCACATGTAGTACCTATATATGTAATATCAAAGCAATTGGACTTGCGGTTTTTAACAAGAAGTCGAAAATATCACTTTTTACCAGAAATTACAAAAATATTCACCAAAATTGAATTGAAGATATCATCATGAAATGAACAAATCTGAGAGAGGTCTACCCAAGGTACATATACACCAAGTATCAAAGCATTCAGGATTGTAGTTTTCAAGAAGAAGTCGAAAAAGTAAAACATTGACACAGACGACGATGGACGACAACGGACAATCACTCATATGTTAAACTCTGCTCAACAAAGTTGACAGCGGAGCTAAAAACCACTTAACTCAAATGACAATTGGAATATCATAGGTATTAATAGATGCTACACAGAGTGCACATGTGCAAGCACATTAATTCCATTTGTTATATCATCCCTAGCTAGTTTAGTTTCAATTCTGTGGATCAGATTGTTTTCACACTGTTCATCTCAAAAAAGCAAAGCTTTATTAACCAACATTTTTAATTACTTTTAATACCCTTGCTGCACATAGTTATTGATTAAATCTGTTTTAGTACTGTACAATATGAAGTTTAATAACTTAGAACATTTCAAACATGCATCATAATTGTATCAATGTTACATCATTTGAAATAAGACATACAACTGTTCTATATAAAGACCATTTTAGGTAATATACTTATATGCTTGTAGGGTTGTTTCTAGTGAGGATTGTGTAGAGTTTACCCATTTTCCCTAATTCCCACGGCTTGAGGCACTGAAGCAAGGAAAATAATATATACAGTCGTGTTTATGAACATATGGGTAATGTAACTATGTTGAAAATGTGCTATAAAACTTGTATAAGAAAAAAATAAGCAGAGTCTGCCATAACACTAAATAATTGACTTTTCCACTGCAGGTCAATATGGCTGTCATTTTGGATTATGCAAATTATAGTCCGTACCAAATAAATTATGGTAGCATTTTTGTTTTAAACACACAGATGCCCCCTTTCTGCAACAATACAATAGTGGCTCACAACACTGATGTTGTGCCTTTAATGGAGCTCACATTAAAAGAGGAAAGTACACTTAAAATTGCTTGAACATAAATGTTTTATTGTACATCGAATGAAATAGAAATAGAACCATTCCAACAGACCTGGTATAGGTGTATGTCTAAACATGTATCCAATCAAAACTTTCTTTCCCTAAAAAGTGCCAACAAATAATATCAGTTAAATCTTTGCTTTGAGAAAAAGACATTTATGTATTTGTAGCTAGACATATTTAGGTTGGATCATTATTACCACTAGTTGCTACTTTTGACAGGAAATTCTGCATTTCCACATACCTATTTCACATTCCAAAAGCTTCTATGAAAAAACTTTGTTGTATGCCAGTCCTCTAGTTCATTAACACTGACTAAAATAAATTCCAGGCTTGCTGGAAACTAGTGCAAACTTTTTATCCAATGGCCCCATAGGGTTATCTCAAACAAAGTTTGTATCCAAATACTGTAGAATACTTTATTTTAGCTGCAATAATTTTCACTGAAAAGACATTTGGGGTGTTTTGTATGGAATTTATTTCCCCAATTTCTGACCAGTTGAATGTAAAATACAGGAAAAAAGGTATATTCGCTGAATTTTATTTTCACTGAAACATTCCTTCAGCGAAAATAGCGAAAATTAATTTCAAGTGAAAATAATGTATTTTACAGTACTTACAAAATGGCCGACAGGATTAAATATCAAAAAGAAGATATTAAGTACATTTTGTGAAGCATACACTTTTGAAAAATACAATAAAACCAAACTCTTATGTGACAGAGAAAGCTTTGTTTTACAGGTGTCCAATTGATAGACATTTATAAAGATGGAAAACAGAGTTTGGTTTAGATAGGTTTTCATTTTACACAGAATACAGTTTCAGTGTATGATAATGGGAGGTAACTACAAAGGAGACATTTCACAATTCCTGACACTATTATTGCACACCAAAACACTGGGTTGGCAATACCTTAATATACACACACACACACACATAAATTTTCCCACCAAATTTTCTATAATTTTCAGCAATTTCCATGTGGATTTTCGAAAAAAATCTATAGTTTATATTATTTTTAACACATTTTTATCAAAAGTTTTGAACATTTTATCAACATACTGGTTTGTATAAACAAACAAACTACTTTGGTCGTAAATAAGCAAACTACTTCATGAAATATGACAGTGTCTGCAACTAATGACCATAATGTATGCATAGAGTTAGTAGCTATGCTTTACTACCTCGTTGTCTTGCAGTTTTATATGTTTTAAAGGCCGGTAGTCGTCGCGCCGCGTCCTGTTCAATATGGGACTCATAGCAACGTACACAACGCATGTAAAATACATTGTTATTTACATGAAATTCGAACACGCGCTGCGCGATGACCACCGCGCTTTAATAATGTAATAAAATATTTAGTATAATGTGACTTTTAAGAAGAAAGTTCATTTGATGTACCAACCAAATAATAAAACTGACAACCTTAGATGTATTCAAAGAAGAGTGTTCAGAAGTAAATCTGCATAATATTATAAATATACTGTAAAATTAGTTTCAAACCCAGTCTTTAGGGTTCTTCAAAACATCCATAAGTTCCATTTCTTTTGAGCCTTCTTTTGGAGTATGCATATACTCCCATCTCTGCAATATAACACAAGGTGAATAATTTATCAGTAACAGCTATTCATTAGGAATATGTCAATTAAATAACAATGAAACTAACATAATAAAAAATTACCAAATATTATCTACTGTATTTCATAATAAAATGCATGTAGATAGGTCAGAGAATGTTCATGAACAACAACTCTTTATTCTGTCTGCTCATACCAAAGCCAGGTCTTATACAAATATTTCAATGTCATAATCAAATTCGTCATTTTATTGCTGGGTGTTTATGATGTAGTCCACATCAACCCACCAATCTACTACAATATATGATGTTTGTGATATTATTTACATAAACTAGATTCAAAAGGCACTATCCAGACACAAAGATGGATTCACCATACAATTACACACAATACATCAAGATGATGATGAAGCCTACATTCACTTGACAATTTTTATTGTGAGAAATTTATGAAACTTTGTACATGTATCCCACATAATTAAAATGATTTGTAGTATTTGATTTGATTCCATGGAATGATAAATATCCCCCTCATTTAACATAAAATATTTCGCATATTATGATTTTATTCACCTGATATCACTTGCTCCACAAGCCAGTTGTCACAAGTGATGTCACACGCTAGTACGGTATTATCCACGAACCAAAGGCGAGTGGATAATACAATCTGTGACGTACACCACAAGTGCCAACCAGCTCCACAAATTAGTGATATCCGGTGATAACATTTTCCTCAAAAACCAATTAGCATGCATCATTTGCTAATTTATGCTAATTACCAGTACAATGAATAAACACATCACGTCAGTAGCAATACTTTTTTCAAAATAAACTTTCATGAGTTTATGAGCAAGTGGCAACACACCAAATGAGTATTAGTCTTTATCCAGTCCGAAAATATGGAGATTGCTTTGATAAAAATAGTACCATAAAAATGAAGTGTAACATAAATGTTGTGACATTCATAGATGCATATCAGCAGTGATATTTTATGCTAAATGTCACAACTGTTAATATATGCATCGTGGTCATGTGATATTTATACATAATCCCACATTATGACACGAGTTGCATCAATCCGAGCCACTAAATTAACACCGAATACAAATATATCATTGTGTATGCTAATTTTGTTGATTCACTTACCGCAGTTAATGGTAATGACATTAGAATACTTTCAATTCTTGCACCAGGAGTGTACAAACCAAACTTGGTACCTCTATCATACACCAAATTGAACTCCACATATCTGAAAAAGAAAGTTATTTCTTAAAGCTAGACCTACAACAACTAAAAACCAAATTTAAATAAACATTAAGTTGAATCCATGCTCATTTTTTTCCATCACCAATTTTTATATTCTCATCGCAAAATCAAATCATATTGAGCCAAATTCAAATTTTGCATATATCAATAATCTATAATTTTTAATAATCTCATGTCGCCAAGCAAAATTTTGAGATGTGATGAAATTTGTCAAAATTTCAGACTCATGTTTCTCAAAAACTTGATCATTGAAATATACCTGGGGTAACCTTCGACTCCAAACCTCCTACATCAGCATACTCATTTGGAGGTATACAATGTTAACACAAGTTTTGTGTCATTGTCACATTTTTTAATCTATGTAATAATTAACATTGACATCATAACAAAAATTACCACCAGTTACAATGCATGAACTAGGAATAGTCTAGCAATATCACAATATCAGCCAATGATTTGTATTATCCTCATTAAAGTCAGTTTGACAATAACGCAATAAGACAAGGTAGAAGTTGATCCCTTTGTTAGTGTTCAAGGTAACAGCAGCCAATTCAATACATGTTAATTTATTGTACATGAATTATTAGACATACCTTCCTCTCCTTAACAGTTGCCACCGTCTGAAATTTAGAACAAAATAGTTAAATATAATCAAAACATTATGATAAAATGTTGCATGCAGTTTTATTGCAAATGGAAATCAACAAAGTATACACAGATGTGACAGTATTGATTGATGTATAATGGAGAACAATTTTACTTCACATAAAATAAGACTTGGATATACCGGAAGTGCAAAGGAGATATAAATTAAATGTGAGAGTATTATAGATTTAATGTGAGGGCGTTATAAATTTAATGTGAGGGTGATATATATTTAATGTGAGGGCGATGTATTTTTAATGTGAGGGCGATATATATTTAATGTGTGGGCGATATATATTTAATGTGAAGGTGATAAATATTTAATGTGAGGGTGATATATATTTAATGTGAGGGTGATATATATTTAATGTGAGGGTGATATATATTTAATGTGAGGGCGTTATAAATTTAATGTGAGGGTGATATATATTTAATGTGAGGGCGATATATTTTTAATGTGAGGGTGATATATATTTAATGTGAGGATGATATATATTTAATGTGAGGGTGATATATATTTAATGTGAGGGTGATATATATTTAATGTAAGGGTGATATATATTTAATGTGAGGGTGACAGACTTGACATGACAGTGGTAGCTTTAATGTTTAATACAATGATTGATATAGATTTATAGTGAGGGTTATATACATTTAAAGTGAGGGTTATAAAGATTTAATGAGAGGGTGATATAAATTTAACATGAGGGTTAGGGCAATATAGATTTAATGTGAAGGGTGATACCATTAACATGAAATCATCTTGCTTACCGTTCTTTGTAGCCAAAATTTTCATTTTTATGTTTCTCCACAATAGGTTCATATGACGGCATGATGGCATTTCCACATGACTGAAAATAGAAAAGACTGTGTAATAACACATGATGATGAAATGAACACAGATTTGAATAGCTAATCTTACAACACCGAGCCCATCAGACATACATCTAACATGACATTTGAATATTTCCACTGAACACATAGCACAATACTAGTTACATATATCTGTCAAAAATAAACGTAATTTACACACACAAGACCTGTCGTATACGACATCTGTCAAAATCAATAATTTTCATGCCACATAAGGTCAATAAAACAAGCAGCCTGTCGGCTGAGATAGATCCGCTGTTAGCAATGCACATTTCAATTAAGAACTGAAGATATCATTAGAAAATGAATATGTATAGTATCAAAGCAACCGGACTTGCTGTTTTCAACAAGAATTCAAAAATATCACTTTTCATCAAAAATGACAAAAATAATCATCAAAATTAGAGAATTAAAGATATCATTACAAAATGAACAAATCTGAGAGAGGTCCAAATGTAGTACCTATATATGTAATATCAAAACAATTCGACTTGCGTTTTTTTTTTTTACAAGAAATGGAAAATATCACTTTTTACCAAAAATGACAAAAATATTCATCAAAATTAGAGAATTGAAGATATCATCATGAAATGAACAAATCAAAGAGAGGTCTACCCAAGGTACATATACACCAAGTATCAAAGCAATCAGGCTTGTAGTTTTCAAGAACGGACAATCACTCATAAGATAAGCTCCGCTCGACAGTAATCAACATGTCTTCACCTGAATAAATTTGAAACAATCTTCTTGTGATGGTTTGTCCAAATCATCAAAAAATATTCCACCCACTCCACGACGTTCACCTACAAATATAAAAGCAAAACTAATGATCAGTGTCATTCTTGAACTTTTGTATAATGTTATTGATACATATTAGCCAAGAATGGCCGTTTAGATGGGGAGAACACCAAGTTAACTATTGGATGGCAAGGTGACCAGTGGTCTGAATGCCCAGTTTTTATGCATGGATTATACTCTGAAATATATATCAGGTAAACACATTCAAATATATATTCTTCCTTCTTGCATAGTAATTATACCAATGTGTGCAATTCGTAGAGAATTCTACCGAAGACGCAAATGATTATAGAGAATTATAGAATGATGTTCCGTGTGATGTCTCTTGTATGAGAGCATCTGGATGTGTAACACCACAGAAACCTGTTTTTAAAAACATGCAGAATCAAATATCTATAATATAACAGACTAGTTTAGGTACCTCTGTTCATACCCACTGTTATATCAAAAAAGAAGACTGCAGTTGCCTGTTACTCTCAAGAGCTATTTGACTATACATACCTCTGTGAGTTACAAAAAAATAATCATCACACCATTTCTTGAAATCTATATAGTGCTTCTTATCATGCTTGTCACATGCTTCTTTTAAAGTTTTATGAAAATGTACAACATCCTGAACAAAAAAATTAAAATTGCGTTTACCATGAGATAAGGTATGATGTATTAGATTGCTAAGCAACTAAGTTTGGGAAATATTACATACATGTTGTATTACTGATTTGTAATAATCATACATTTAGGAAGTGGTGTGCATTCTATTCTGAACAGTTCAGCATGTAACAAAAATGTAGGAAGGCACCATTAATTCCACAACGCTATACTCACCGGCGAGTAAAGCTTTAGGTACAACATCAAGGTTTTGATTTTGTTCATTTATTGCACATTGTATACAACCCCTCTATTTGCACAACAAGTTAATTATTTAAAAAAAGAAAAACCTTAGATTGAATTATTGTATTCAATGCTAGGTACATTTCTCTCCTCACTCTGCGACAATTGTGGCCATATTCCAAACAATTCCCACCCTCAGATTGTAATAAGATTGACGAATTTTAAGCAGAGAAGTTTATTATTAAACCTGTACTGAAGATAAGCCCTCATCTCAAAAATACGGAGTAGACCTATATTTACAGCACACTGTGACAAGAGTAAAGCTCCTCACTTCTTAAAGCGTGGTGGTTCTTGTACCACGCATGTGTGAGATTTGTGTTTTTAAACTTCATTTTCCTCAATGAAAATATGAATACGAGTTTTGATCTGAGCATGATGTACATGATTTACAGACATTCATTTTTTGGAATAATTGTTAATCTGTTCAAATCACCACAGAAAATATCTAGGTAAACCTTAATAACTTTTCATGTCGACATCTTTTTTATATATAAGACCCATATCTCGTGCATGTGTGATCGTGACAAGTCCCCGCCCTTTAAAGCTGATCCAGCTCTGAGTACAATGGTAAACACAATTATACCTTATTTTGCCACAATGTTATCGACTGAAAAATTGTGGAAGAATGTATAGATGCAAGACTTTTCAAAATTTAATAAATTTTAGTGTGAAATTGATGTGTAACCTAACAATATACATCTACATAATATTTTAATCAGAATGATATGCAGTAAAAAGCTGTGTATATTGCAAGCTGGAACCCTGTATGAACAATATTATTTTACATTTTGGCATCACTTTGATGTACATGTTATTCTTGGAAGAAAAAGATGTATATTAATAAGGTCATTACGAAGATACCTCAACTAAAAGTATGTACTCAGACAGTGCATCGTAGCATCGATCTTTGCTGCGCGTCGGTCAATACTTTCGCTATACTGTCTTCATGCATACTTTGAGGTATCTTCATAATAACCTCATATTCACACATATTCCAGTCAATACTCCACACACTTGTATATATAAAAACATCTAAAAACTACGTCATCAACTGGCGGTACAGCTTAGACAGGTTTCAACATAACTGTGATATAACACAACTATCATGTAAATTATGACATACCTCCTGCAAAGACTCCACCCCTATTATTGTAATTGTGATGTAACCTGCAGCTATCATGTTTAATTATGACTTGTGCAAAAACTCCAGTGTGTTACACTGTATAAAGTGCATGTAGCCCAATGACTTGCACAGGTAACTGTACTCACCTCTTTATCCAGATAATAAGGAGTGAGATCCGTACCGCCACCAAACCACCATGTTGTTTTACCATTCCCTTCATCAATCTCAAAATATCGGTAATTAAAATGCACTGTAGGAACCATGGGATTTCTCTGCAAAATTTAATTATTATATAAGCATTGATTACTGTAAATAGCTTTTATCAAAATTGTGAAATTTTAAACAGGGATTTCACTGTGATTCTTTAGGCACAGAAATCTCTGTGAATACACTCTCTCGAATCCCAGTGCTGGTGGGGTGTGAGATTATATTAGTTATGAAGACGGAATTATTTATGGCAGCGACAATATTAGATAGACGGGTTTATACTTACAGGATGAATAACAGAACTGATACCAGCAGCAAAGAAAGGCAATTTACCCTCACCAATATTTTTACCACTGAAAAAGAAAAAGACAGAATGGTAAATGCACAAAACATTATGTAAAGTGTACACATACATATTTTGATAGCAAGCTCATAAAATAGTTAATCAGCATACAAGTACATGTTCCAATTTAACATTTCTGAAAGTCCCTCAAATAAAATTACTTCAAACTAATTTAATAGAATATAACAAACATGTACAGTGAGTGCTGGGTTTAATGAAAAACAAAAGTATCAAAAGAGTATATCTGAGAAATAGCTAGGATATGTAAAAAATACAAAAGGACCACCAGTTGGCCATTTTGAATCAAATCAGTATATAACCCACCATAAGTGATGTCAATACAAACTTTGAAAAAAATTAGGTCCACCTAATTACAGGTAATTTGTGCTCCATTAAAAAATACTCCAATCTCCATATAAAGCTGACCTTTCTATAAAGACTATTTTAAGGAAGCTCCTTGAATGGTCGCTTTAAACGGGTTTGATCGTATATGTATAAAGAGTTATAAACTATTCACAAAACATTAACGAATATATCCCAAAATAGAACATGCTTAGTTTGATATTTTACTTGATCCCATGGGTATGGGAACACTTGCAGTAGTTAATTAGTAATCAATAATTAAAAATTTTAATTATCTTCCCATACTCACCGACTCTTCATTTGTTTTACAGCTTCTGGCGGCAATTCTCCCGTCACAACAGAAATATTCACGCCGGCCTTTTCAAAAACAGAACCATCTTGTAAGATACAACTGATGCCGCCACCACCCTAATAATGAAATGAAAACAAACACAAGCTTAGAGGGTCATATCCGGAATAATAAATGAAACGAACACAATCTTAGGAAACCAGTAAAATATTTTAAAGTTAAAGGGGAACCTCTCAATCCCATGGATTGCACCAAGTGCTCATGGGTAATTAACTCCGCCTTTGTCCACTAAGTAAATGAATGCTTATATTTCCCCCTGTCCCGCTAATACCACAAAACAACAACTGATATAAACATCCTATGAACGGATTATAATTTGCTTATTGAATTGCAAACAAAGTACACATTAGTTTGATCATTTGCGTCAAACACAGAGCTATATGCCATGATTTCGCACGCTCCGTAATATCGACTGGCAAATATGACGCGGAACTAAACTAACTCAAGTTGATGACGGACCACAAATAAAGGCATCAGTCGACCCGGATATTGAACACAAAACCAGATTGTTTCTAAACGGTCACGAGGAAAATTCGCTGACTTGTCTGTTTCCGTTGCGTCGGTCTATTGACGGTACTGATCTCATATACAGTAAAACTGAGAATGAGAACGAACCTTCCTATGCAGACTATAGACTTAATGTAACAAGTGGGGAAATACCTCTGGGACTTCGGTTTTCATAATTCCATCGCAAATTGGTAAACAAAACGTGAATTTACTATTGCCCTCAAATTTCCATATAATATTTACAAATTGGTAGCGGCGAAAAAGTTTACTGTATATTATAAGTATAGAAGTTATTACACGGGAATTCTGGGTGATAAAATAACAAAATCATAAGAAATAAAAAGACGCCACGACATCACAGGCTTATCTTCTAACCTGTTTATGACACTTGAGTTCTTGTGGTCTGGCAGGTGAACGTGGGGTTGACTTTACAGACGAAATCAAATGAGCGGCGAGAAAGAGAAGAGCGTTTAGTGAAAACCGACGTTGTTTCAATATATGGCGCGACTATGACTACTTGTTATGCTAGTCACAACACATGGATACTTTTTGTTGAGTCGTTTGTAAACTTTTATCGTGCACATAAGTTGAACCCGTTGCTAACTTTTTTTTTACAGACGCTTGATTGTACTACTGGCCAGTACTGATGTCTGATGAATTTCATGCTGACTTACGAAACACAGGGCCTATTGTTTTCTGGCAAATAAAAACAACTAAAATGAAATTGAATAACAAAATCATACAGATCTTATTTTCTCCCGGACTCTCTATTGTGTTATTTTATTATCATTGCACACCATGTTACATATTATATTAAAAGAAACAATATTACATGTATGCATAACTTATTCAAATGCATTGTAATTTTAAGTAGCATATAGTTTGTTGAGCTATGAGTCTGGCCCAAACTCCCTCTCTCCACTTTGGTTTCAAATATCGCTTTCTACTCAGTGATGTGGGCCAGGAGTGGGTGTTGCTTTGACTTGTGTTTTACATTCCAACAAGACATTTTCGCGTGTTTTTAATTTCGCACTTTTGGACTCACCGCGAAATTAAAACTACGCGAATAATCTCTACTTCTACGGTTATTGCAATGGATATCCGAGAGCCGGTAACCTAATGTTATTGACATTGTTTAGTGTCTTACTTCGTCATGTCCCAGTGTTACTGATGGTTAGACAATGGAAGGTACTAGACCATAGGCAAACTACGTAACGATGATGATGTTTGTAAACCAACAAGCTTTGTAGATTGAATAAACATCTAGGAGATTTACATTTTCGTTTACTCAAACTGTGATTGACAGGAGTTTTGCATACATTAGCCGCCACTGATTTTTACTTGTCTTGGTACATTTTGACCGAAAACAACAACATTTATATATCTAAAGCTCAATCAGATGAGTGAAATCGCTAGCATACATATTCATGCCCCGGTAGAATTGTATTTGGAATCACAGCTTGATCTCTAAACTTCGTAAATGGCACATTTCATGGAGCTCCCGCTGCGATGTGAGCGGCTTGGTTCGAATTAGCATACTAATACGGTGGCCATCTTGTTCCATAATTATAGTATCGGTTCCCCTTTAAAAACAAACGTATACTTGAAGAACACAGCAACAGTTTTATCAACTCAAATTCAACTTCAACAATATACATGGGGAAAGTGGAGTAAAGACAGAATGTAACAAACTTAAAAATGTGTGCCATATTAATAAAATAAAATATATAACATGACAGATACATCTCTGAATGTTTAAAAGTAAAGTTACCACAAACACAGATACACTGTATTTGAGAAACTGAGAAATGAAATGAAACAAGATAAGAATAAAGTGAAAAGCTATTGTAACCAGCGGTTTCAGTTTTGTAGTCAACTTCATATTAATTTTAAACTTTCAATTTATTTACCTCTTTTCTTTCCCAACGTTCAACCTGAAATTTTTTACTCTGTTCAAGATTCTCAAAGCGTCTGCAAATATCAGCCTACAGGACAAAAATTTACCATGATAAGTTAATCATCATTACTATTAAATAAAAGTAGTAAAAATATCATACACAGAAAGGCAAACTCCACTTATCACAAAATACGGTAGAATTTGTACTGTAAAACACCAAATGTGGTTGTCGCATACGACTTATTTACCACTTCCGTGTCACTGAGAATGTTCTAGAACCGTACTGTGTCTGGGTGGAATATTCTAGATTATTTTTAGAAAATGGTTGAATAGGTAATAGAACACTGTAGGAACCAATAGAAGGTAATGGAACATTCTAGAAATTTATAGTAAATTCCAGACTCATTATGTATGCTGATGTAATGATCTATTTATAGACAGTGTGGGTATATATAGGGGAGTTGTTCAGCACTGAGTTCAGATCGGAGATCTCGTTGAATTGTATTGGAGTTTAAGTATCTAGTTATTGGAGTAGTGGAGTTTTACCGCGTTATTGTACTTGATGTTTGCAGAGTATAATAATACCAGTACCAGTTGAAACCTCATCTGTTGGCTCCGTGTTCGTATTTTATCATCGCCGCCAGGGAAGTCTTTCTGTTACTGTTGCCATTTTGGTATTTGAACCATCACACCTGTACTATACCAATTACGGTAATATTATGTTGCGTGTGACAGTGGTTATCTTGGAAGTGTGGATGTTACAAGACCCAGCCAAATAGGCAAGTTTTAGGTAAGCATTGCATCTTTTCGCAAAAATATAAACATAATTCCTTATGATAGAATAGTTAGTGAGTGAGATGCTATCTTAAGAAGGGACTATTGAACAGACAAGCTGAAAACAAAAGTAAGGGAATTGGGAGCGTTATATTGCATCTTGTTGGATGCGAATTACTGTCTCTATTTAACACATTTTTCCTAGCAACAAACATAAATGAATTGAATTCAACAACAAACACAATCCAAATCTAGAAAATATTAATTAATATTATTGCAATGCATCATGGTAGATTTTCTTACCTGTAATTGCAGAATATACAGTTCCATTCTTTTCTTCATATCATCTTGCTGTAAATAGAAACAATATGCATAAATATGAATGGGTAATGAGATGTTAATGATATTTGCTCCTGAGATTTACTATTTTGAAGGATCTGTACCTTTTGTAGTTTGTCGACAACTGTGATTGGTTCGGCCATGAACTTTGACACATCAACATTCTGTTGCTCTGTATGAATGCTTCTGGCTTGTACGACATTGACCTGAAACATAAACGATTCAACAACTATAAAGGCAGTACTGGGAGATTCAAGATCTGATTAAATTACCAACACCAAGTATAACAGCCAAAGTGCAATAGCACCAAGTGTGACAAACAACGTGTCGATATAGAGGCAGTATTGGCAGATACAATATCTACCGGGTAATGACTTATAGTACTATCAATGACGGCTTGCAGACCCACCTGGGTTAAACAAACCAATGCAACTACAGACAGACACAAGTACTAGTACTTTAAATGAAATTTCGTTAAAATTTCACAATTATATGCAAATTAATGTATGCAAATAAGGAGATTTTTTTTTTTTGGTGTCAGGCGACAGTTCCTGAAATTCAATGTCATTGTCGTCTCTCCTGACTTTTTTTTTTCTGTGCAAATTGCAAGTGCTAGTGCTGACGCATAAGGATAAGGATATTTTACATATTTAATTTTATGAAATTGAAGAGCAGTAAATATAAATGTAAGCTTTATCTTACTGTACTTGAATATCTTTCAATTACATTTGTTGAGATAAATTGGTTTCAATGACTGTTTGTATTTCAAAATCACATCATAGTGCGAAAAATCCCTTCTTATATTTTTGGTAACAAGTAAATTTTGAAAGAAATATGTCGAAATAAATTTTGGTACAATGGCTACCTAACTATTATTTCTATAATACTGTGGAATACTTTATTTTCGCTGGAATTAATTTTCACTGAAAGGGCTTTTTGGGCGTTTCGTATGGAATATATTTTCACTGTTTTTTGATGAGTTTAATGTGAAATATAGGAAAAAAAGTATATTCGCTGGATTTTATTTTCACGGAATCATCCTCTCAGCAAAAATAGCGAAAATTAATTCCAAGTGAAAATAAAGTACATTACAGTACATTTATTTTTATACTAGATTTACACTTATAAACACAATAGAGAGCCAGGAGGGTGGGTTATGACAAGATATGACATACTGTTTTGTAGTAAACACCATATCCCAACACTGAGCTACCAGCTGCAACTCCCAGTAAAACAGACCTGCACAAAGAAAAAACAATGAATTATATTAAACTTATTACAAGTTAAAATTCTAAATTGTTTTGGAATTGAAGTAAAGATTAGCATTAACTATTATTTTAATACACATGATATTGGAAACAGTTACTTATTAGTACACATTGACATGAGAAAAAAAATGATAATAAACATCAACACAAATTTCGGAATTAGTGTGCATGCTGTTAAATGCATTTATTAGAGTCCAAGTCAGTTTTGGCCCTTTTGTTTTTCTACAGGTTTTTCTTTCTTCTTCTTCTTCCACAGTTTTTTCATCAAGCTGTCCTGAGTGATCTGAATAGAATGATCTGATATTTTCTATAATGATAAATCTTAATGTGACTTGGATTACCTGACTTTTGAATTGTTATCTTGTTTTTTATCATCTATGTGTAAAGCACATTAAAGCTTGAGAATTTGGGGGGGTCATATGGTTTTGCTGCCATCTTTGATTTTCAGCAAAAACAGCCACAATTTGGGACATGTGTGTTTCATGAATGCTTTAACTTCATATTTTTCATGTAGCATGTCTGATCAAAGCATCTTCTAATAAAAATAACGTATATACCAGTGAGTACATGTACATAATCAGCCTTCAAACGTGGACATGACGAAGCTGGGGAAATTGATTTGATAACTAAATGACTGGATATTTCTTGAGAAATGCAATTCAAATTATCAAAAGAATCTTAAATATGATTGTTTTTTTTTATCTTTATTCAGTTATATTTCCTTCAAGAAGATTTACGACATCCCAAAGCATATGTGCTGAGATATGTAATGAGATATTACTAGCACTGTTCTTAGGCATATAGTGAGTGGAATGTCACATAGATGTTTATGACATCCCATAGTGTGTGTAATGTTTGCATAAATCTGAATAGGTAATGAGATGTTACTAGCACTATACCTAGGCATATATCAAGTGGAATGTCACTTAGATGTTTATGACATCCCATACTGTGTGGTGTTTGCATAAATTTATATAGGTAATGAGATATTACTAGCACTGTACCTAGGCATATATCAAGTGGAATGTCACATAGATGTTTATGACATCCCATAGTGTGTCATGTTTGCATAAATTTATATAGGTAATGAGATAATACTAGAATATCACTAGGCATTGGTTGGAGCACGGTAAAATGAGTGAC